TGTTGGGAGCTTTGGGGTGGGGGGCGGGGAAGGGAGCCACCAGAAATGGGTGGTGTGTGACCTGTCCTTCCTCCCGCAGACCTTTGCCCGCTACCTTTCCTTCCGCCGCGACAACAACGAGCTGCTGCTCTTCATATTGAAGCAGCTGGTGGCAGAGCAGGTGACCTATCAGCGTAACCGCTTTGGAGCTCAGCAGGACACCATTGAAGTGCCCGAGAAGGACCTGGTGGACAAGGTACGGGCTCCCGTGGGAGGTCGGGGCCGGGGCTTGGCTCCCTGGGGAGCCATCTGTCATCCCCGGGGGCTTGGCGGAGGGAACTCGAGCGACAGCCGGAAGTTGGTGGAGGCTGGCCTCCAACTCACGATCCTCCTGCCTCGGCCTCCCGAGCGGCGAGGATCCTGGACATCGCCTCGTCCGGGGGGCCCCTTAAGTCCACTGAGTCGCACGCTTGGCCTTTGTGTCCCCCCCTCCCTTTAGGCTCGGCAGATCAACATCCACAACCTCTCTGCCTTCTACGACAGCGACCTTTTCAGGATGAACAAGTTCAGCCTCGACGTGAAGCGGAAATTGATCTTGCAGCAGTTCTGAGGACCTCCCGGATGACGCCGGATTCGGGGAGACCGAGCGCTCCGTCCCTTTGTGCCTTGTGCACGTGAAACCCAGACTCCTGGGAGACTCAGTGGGTTGGGGTGAGGGACGGCGGAGGGATGTCGAGCGTCTCCGGTGGTATTTATTTTCCTGGCCTCACTTTTTTTTGCTTCAGGAACACTTTTTAGGGGGTGGGGGGGTACCAGGGATGGAACTCAGGGAGCCCTCGAACACTGGGTGACATCCCCAACCCTGTTTGGTATTTTATTTAGAGGTGGTCACAGTTGCTTGGTGTCTTTTGCTGAGGCTGGCCTCCACCTTGAGATCCTCCTGCCTCAGCCTCCCGAGCCGCTGAGATACTGGGCATGCGCCAAGGCGCCCGTCAGACCTTTTAAGTGGACGCTTTTGACTGCTTAGGTTCCTACCCGTGGTGCCTCCTGTCTGCCGATTTTTTCTGGAATTCTGTCCTGTTGTAGAAGGACTCACAGCTCCTACTTGGGTGCTTGTGACTCCTGTGATAGTGTGGCTTCTGTCCCCCAGCTGGGGGACGTGAGGAATCTGCCACGGGGCCCGTGGATTGTTCACTACTTTTGCTCCTATATTAATTAATAGGATTCTCGTCTCTGGTTATTTCTCCGCGTCGCTTTGTACATAATTTTTTCTTTCTGTAGTTTCAGATTTTTAATAAAGTT